TTTCTTTTTAACTCGCTGTGTGAAGGTCATACAAAATAATTCATTCGCTGCCCTTTGCTGGGTGTCTTCCAAAGGTGGAGTGCCTGCCTTTTGCTATCTAAAGCATTTCGGCTTTTCTTTTTTTCAGTGTTGAAAGGTTAACATTTGTATTCCTTTTGGAATACAAAGGAAATGTGTCATCGCAGAGGCACACAGCGGAGTTAAATTTTCGGGGGTAGCACTGCAGATAGCATTCAGGCACACAGATACTCAGGTGTTTGGTCCAACAGGATTGGGAACAGGGCATCAGCTCTCGATTCAGGCCTGTCTCCTTGGGACAAGGTAGTGCTCACCGTTCCTGCCAGCGCATCCTTTAGCTGTAGGCGTCCTTATGACAATCGCAGAACACGCCGAGGCTGTGGTAGCGTTGTGTGCAGCAGCAGTGAAAGATGGGAATCTGCGGGCCTCACTGTAAACACCAGCTTTTCCCAGCAAAGCCCAGTTGGGCTGAAACTTCCTTTTGGTGGAATTTTTCCCTTTTCCCCTTGCCTTCCTACACCTGTCTTTTATAGACCAAGCGGTTTTGCGGTTGTCAAGCTTGGTTGTAAAGCACGGCAAGGAAACCGGGCCCCACGTTCAGGTAGCCTGCCCGCTGCCCAGAGGCAGGCACCGGCGGGGGCCCCCGGCGCGGAGAGCCGGCAGAGCCCCGCGTGTTCCGGCTTCCCAGAGCCGGTGCCACTAGATGGCAATGTGGTTCTCCTGCAGCTGGGACTCCCCTTTTCTTTCCTGTAAAATTTCTTGCTTTTTCTGTATTTATCTCTGCCAAACTGATGATTGCACCCACCACCCCGGCAAGAGAACAGAACAAAATCATTTCATAGAACATTACAGCTGTTGTGCCTTTTTCTTTTCTTGCCCCCCCCCCCCCCCCCGGTATTTCTACGCGCCTTTTTTTTCCCCCCCCCCCCCCCCCAGTTCTTTGTCCCACAGCAGGGTGCAGAGGTTTAAAAACCTTCTTTCTTAATCGCTCTCCTTCTAAAAACAGAGAAAACACAGCCTCTTGGGAGCAATTAGCTGTGAGAAAAGCATTTCTCAAACAATTGCCAGGAAATATTGTCTTGACCGATATTCCTGATGTAACACTGTCGTTCTCAGTACTGTTATTCTAAGATACTCGACTGCAAAAACAGCAGGGTACAGATCTGTAATGTACGATCTGCAGCTTACCACCTACCTTACCTTTTTATATCCATTTACTTTCAGTTTGTGCCTTCCCCACACCCCCCTGTAGCTATTCTGTTTAGGAGAGTGAAGAATTATTTGTGACTCTCCTCTTGTGACTAGTGTATCAGGCCAAGGCTGTGACAAGACACGGCTGAAAATTAAGGTTATGCCTCTGCTGCCCGGGTTCCTGATTGAAATTCAGTGGCAGTGTGCTGCGGAGGAGGTCAGGCTGCACGCTTACAGCGATCCCTTCTAGCCTTAAAGCCTGGCAGCCTGAGAGTACGTGAGGTTGGTGAAGCCTGAATTTCAGTGGGAGCAGCTGGAGAGCAGGTATACGTGAAGCAGGCAGCAGAGGTATGCTGAGACCGGCGTCCCGACCCTGAAAGCCTTCTCCCCATCATTGTATTCATGGAAGATGGACCAGGCTGTAGGATGGGGAGAGGTTGGAGCAACGGTGGTAAATTTCAAGTGCTAAAAGCCAGCATCAGCAGTGGCTAGTAACCACTGCGAGCTAACCAGCTAGCTAGATGTACACGCGTGCATGCTCATTCGCATGCACAGCCATAGCTGTTTGTATTGTGTGGTTCAAATTTTGTCCCTCTTTACATAAATTCATGGAGATTTGAGAAACGAGCTTCACTCTGTGGGACAGGGTGTGAACTGAAGCACCTTCTGGAAGACAGACAGCAATGTAATCCTTTCATTCAACCCTGTCTGCAGCTGCTTTTTATAAACTTGGCATAAATACGTACTCAGTGAGGCCAGGCCTGTGTAGCTGGAAAATATTTTCCACCATCCAAAAAAACAGAAGATTGGAAAAAGAGCCCAGAAATTGTGCATAACATGGAATGGCCTCGCTTGTGTTTTTTTTCCATGACTTCCTCAGCTCATTTTTCTGCTGCCAATTTTAGAAGCCCATAAGTCATACTTGTTAAACTTTCTCAGTTAAAATGTAACTCTAAGAACAAAGTCATATGATATGTTGCAGCCAAATAATCCTTCCAGAGCCTCTGACTGGAGAAAAGCTACCCTAATCTGGCCAGCTTGTGAACCTGCATGGGCTCCCGTCCCGTGAGAGGCAGGGCTGAGGGGGCAGGTTCACGCCGCCCTCCCGGGTGAAGGCTTCCCCATGGACTTCGGCAAGCATTTCTCCCTGCTTTTGCCAGGGTAGTCAGGCCCATGGCGGGTTATGTTGCAGGACGGTCGTTGCAGAAATTTCACCTCTTCCTCTAGAAGGACTTCAAGCAGGAGGGGAAGCAGAGGAGGGAGGGAGGGAGGGGAGGCAGCACAGAGGCTGGCGTGGTTCGGCAGTGGAGGGCTGAGACACTGTTGTAGGAAGGTGCTGCTGCTGTCAGGGTGAAGGAGCTGAGGAGACAGCAGGTTGCCAAGAGCAAAAGTGAATTTGCTGGCAGGTTTGAAGAAAGGGCAACCTTACTTCAGTGTGTTTCTACGCATTGAATCAATACGGAAGTACTCGCATGCCAGGAGCAATATTTTTGTTTGCCAGTTTTGCTCTCTTTTATGAGGTGATTGTGCTTACACCAGGCCCCAGATGGTTGTCTTGAAGTGCCACCCCTTGTCCAGGGCCTGCTCTGTCCCCTCACACAGAACAAATCCCCGGTCACTGCTGCGGGGGGGTCGCTCTAAATTTACACTGGGGCAGTAGCCGAGGACGGAATTTGGCTGTCGGCCCTGCCGGCAGCGGTGCTCCAGCCTGCCGCCTCCCAGGTGCAGCCCGCATCCTGGGGCTGGCAGCCCTGGCCTGGGCTCCTGCGGCCTGGTGCGTTGGGAAGGCAGGGAGTGCTGGTCTCCCACCAGGGCTGCCTCGGGCAGCCTCTGTGCCAAGGGGGTGTGAGTCTGGCAGCGGCGTGAGGGACCAGAGCAGGCAGGGGAGAGGAGCGAGTGCAGCCATGAGGGGCTTCTCGGTCTGCTCACCCTTCCGGCCATGCCTCCCCCTTGTGCTGGGGGTGGAGCCGCGTGGAGAATCTCCCTCTGGAAAAAAAATATAAAAATAAGAAAATACCTATGTTTTTTCCCCTAAATATCAGCTTCTGAGTTTGGTTCTGGCGCTCGGTGTAAACTGGGAGAGCGTCTGGAGGAAGTCAGGGGAATCACACTGCTGCAGAGCGGCTGCCAGGAGCGGCGGGCCCCAGAGGCCGCCTTCCTGCAGCCCGGCAAAACGCCCTCGCGAAGCCTGTGTGGTCTTCATGGGAAGGGAGGAACTGAGCAAACCCACTGGAAACCGGCGAGGGTGTTGTAATGTTTTTTTGGACAGCCCGTTTCAAGAACCAGCGACTGCCCCTCTCTCTCTCTCCCCTGGCAGCCGCTTCCCGTGCCATGACATTGAGGGAGGTGGTGGTGACTGATGTAACCGCGGCCGGGGAGAGTCACTTGCCCAACACGCGGAGGCTGGCAGATGGCCAGAGAAATTTGCTAAGTCCGGGTTTTCTCACAACGGGCTCCCTGTCCCTGTGTGCATACCTATAACTGGGCCAGGTGCTTGGCACGGCTGCCTCCCCAGCCAAGTACACGAGGCGGCAGAGCTACCCAAGCCAGGAGGAGAAGAAGAAGAGAAGGAAGAAAATTTTGTTCTTTTCCCACATGAATGCAGGCTCGATAACATCCCTAAGCACGCGTTGTTTGTGTCACCGTATTGTAATTAATAACGATGCCTGTTCGCTGAAGCCAGCTGTTCTTTGTGCTAGTGGCGGGAAGTGTGGGGGAGAGGGTGAGGAGAGGCCTAGTAGTTTTTTTGCTGGATCACCACCTTTAAGTTATTGTGACAGACCTTTAAAAGGATCTCTTTGTGTGAACTGGAATATAATGCTCAGTTGGGCTCTTAAATTCTGGCTCTGTTGAGAAGAGAGATCCTTTCATATCGATTGTAATTTCATATGCAGTTCAGGCACTGACTTGTAGAAAATCTGGGCCAGGAGAGATATCATTAGGTATTTATGGGGGTTTGGTTGGCTCAGCAGTCAGTTTTTCCATTGTCATGCCGTGACAGTAGTGCATTACATACACCCTCAGGAGATATCCTTCTGCTTCCACAACAATAAAGGACTTTTTTTCTTTTTCTGACTCATCTTCAGCTTGAAAAAAAAACCCAACCACCATCAGTAAATATAATTAGCAACAGGCAGATATACTGTACGTAGCTCTCAGAGCCCACGGGGATAGTTCCTGTTAAAATGTATGCTCGTGGTTGCTCACCCCATGCTTAGACCTCCAGCTGCATTCCTGATTATACTTAGATGTTTTAATATAGCCTGGTGATGTTGTAGGCTGAGGGGCTGCTTCTAGTTCAAATAAAGAGGAGGACTATATTTAATGCTGGGATTGTCTTTCATGCACACACAGGAGCTTTGGCCAGACTCGAAGCTCACAAGGCAGGGGAGTACAAATGGCTGCGCTGCTCCAGATGCGAGGTCCCCTCAGCTCTTCATCCTGCCTCTGGCAGGGGCCAGCAGCAGATGCTGCGGGAAGGAGGACAAGAAATGGAGCGAGTCTAGGCTGATCCTGCCCCAGTGTGCCCTCCTGGCTCCCAGCACAGCTATTCTTGCTCACCAAAGGACAGGCGAAGAGGCTACTACTGCCTTAGTCCTTCTATTCCCCAACCTCCTTGGGCCCCCACCGTGCAGTGGCCCCTGTTTGCTTTGCTTGCCAGATGTGGCTCCGCGTGGGATGGAAAGCAGACCCAGGTCTGCTCTCCTTTGCTTTTGGATCCACGTGGTCACGTGAGGATTTCTGGGTTAAATGCGTCCTGGCCCCCTCAGTATTTCCCTTATGTAAGTGCGATGGAGCTGGGAGCAGGTGGCGTCCAGCTGGGCTCTGCTGTCTGCCAGGTGGGTGTTCCCTTACACCGCAAGCCGAAGTCCTCGCCATCCCAGTTAGGGGCTGCTGCCCATCCCGCGTGTGCCATTGGAGCACCGCGAAGCCGGGACCCAGCCTTTGGGTCCATATTTCACCTCGGGGCAAAGGCTGACGCCAGTCACATGGCTGCGAGCAGGCCAACTAGGAGATTAGTATGGCTTTGTTTGTTTATTTATTTTAACCTGTGACTAAGATGGGGGAGTATTTAGATGGGAGCGGCTCCTCCCAGAAAAGTGCTGTTTATATTTCAGTCTCCTGAGCAGAGTCAGTCGGACCTGAAGTGCTCATAACCCAGCAGTGGTATGTGGGCTTTGCTGGCATGTCCTCATGTAACCTGGCGTTCACGCTGCCGGACAGAGTATGGGCTGGTTGTTTGCTCATCCCGAGCGCAAATGGCCATAAGTTTTCCTCTGTATTCCTGATTGCTGAGCTCAGAAGGGTGGAGAAGAGGAAGAGCAAGCTTTCATCTGAAAGTGGCCAGGCATTGCATAGGGCTGTACCTGGGGTTACGCTGAGAAAAACGTGACGGTGTGGGTGGGGTGATGGCTCTATAGCCACAGACAATATTGCAGGGCTCACCCGTGCAGCATGTGTTTAGCACAGTCACTAGTAACACTGCTGTGTGTGTAAGCAAGTCAGTACCTGCTGCCATGTGGTCAAAAGGAGAGATGCTTTTAGAAACATGTGAGGGTGGCATGAAAAAACAAGTCAGCTGAAGTATCCTTAGCTTGTCGGGCACCCGTGGGCTAGTAGACACAAGTGAAACGGTGCACAGAAACTCCTCGGTTATCGAGCTGGTGTTTATTTCCATGATCTCTACCTAATTCCACCTGTGTAAGCTACTTATTTCTTTGAGATCTTGTAAACTCAAGACCCTGGATGTAGACACACCTAACCTCTGGGGGAAGGGCAGAGCCAGCTCAGCCAACTTTGATGGAAAATGATTTCCCAAAGCGAGGATCTTGTACCCTATGGCAGGGCAGAGGGCAATGCAGAGAAGTAGCCAAGAAGCATTTAAAGCCTAGGGCTTTAAATAGCACCTGACTAGGTGGCTAGCGAACTAATGATATATGGGGAAATCGGATTTCGTATTCTTGAGCTAAGGGAAGTTTGGAGAATCCTGTCTCCATATCTCATCAGTTGCTAAAACAAGTCTCCTGGAAATGTAAAAAGTCTGTCTCTCTCCCCTCCTTGCCCTATAGCAATATAAGTAGCACAACTTCATCTAAGTTTTGTGATAAATAAATGAGTAATCCTGCCTCCAAGGCTGTCTGGGACTTCTGCACCACATCCTTGCTCCAGCTTGTACCACAGTACAGTATTTTACAATGTCTGGGATGGAGAAGATTTCTTCTGTGCAGTCTGCTGTGGTATGTTCACTGGTCACAGCGTTGTCTGGGGGGTGAGAAATGGGGCAAGACTCCTCTCAAGCCACCAGTCTTGGGCATTTTCCGTTTTAGCACTCTATAATTCTTCAGTGAATTGCCTGGACAGCTAATGACTGCGGTCAGGCCTGTTGGCCTTTGGTCAGCAAACCAAAACCTGTTTTTTTTTCCTGAGCCGAGTTTGTAAACAAGGCATAGGCCAAAACTTCTTTTAAGCTGTCATGGCAAGGGCTAGTTAATAGGAAGAAACCAATGCCAGCTCAACTGGTATGCTGAGAGTGGTGCTCTCATTTCCAGCAGGGAGGACTTTGATGTCCTAAAGCAGCAGCTCAGCCATGGCAGTGCAGCAGAAACCCTCCAGAGAAAGGGGACTGTGGAAACTTCCCCTTGTGTTGGTGGTACCTCCTGGTCAGGTCCCAGCAGCCGTGGGACTGCAGGGAAAGTTTGCGTGGTGCTTGCTCATGTGTTTAGTGAAGGGTCTGCAGGCTCCAAGCTGCCTGTGCCCTCCTGTTCATGAGCTTCTTAAATGATATCTTCAACGGACAGTAACTGGGGGAGAGGAAAAGGAGCTTTCTAACCATGCTGAGGTTGGCCTTCTGTCGGTGAAGAAAGACCTAGACGTTAGTGGTGCTCAGAGGTGCTGGCTGAGCCAGGTTTGATCTTGGGAACACCTATGTAAAGATGGGATATTTCCCAAGGGGCCAACTGTGTAAAACTGGTGTAAATGTGGCCAGGCTCATGGGGTTCTGTTCTCCAAATACGAGCTTTGTATTGACGTCGGTGGGAGGCAAAGGTGTGTCACTCTTCGGGTGGATGGGTTTTTTTGCCACTGCTTGAGCACAGTGGGGAGCGTCGGGGAAGCCTTCCTGAACAAGTTCACTACCTGCACCTCATCTGATTTATGTCCCTCTGGCTTGTGCTGACGCACAGCCTGGCGTCGGCGAGCTTTCTTGGTGTCTAGATTGCTGCTTCCATTTGGTTAAAACATGCAAAGTGTCTTTCAGAGAGAAGGAATGGGGTTAGGAAGAGGAAGCTGTGTGAGACTTAGTTTGCATTACTGAATCATGCCGGCCTTGGTTCGGTAATTCCCTCTCTCTAGGCCGGGTGTTTCAGTGGTTTCAGGTTTCAGCCCAGCACAGCATCAATAAGTCCATTCTTCCAGGAAGGTCAGGCTTACTTTCCCTCCATCCCTCCCCTTCTCCCTGGGAGAGTAAGGTTGTTTAACGGCAACAAGGGTTCAGGGTGCAATGTGAGCGGGGGGAAGCACCTTTGCTGTTTCTTGTCCGTCTGCGAGCAGGCAGGGACAGCTGTCTCCTTTCCCCGCGTAACCACCGAATCGTCCAGCTGCCCCTACGAGGGTTCGGCTGCCTGTACCTCGAACGGAGGCCAAGGCCAGTTGCAAGTGCTCAGGACCTCCCAGGACCGGCCCTTGGCTTAGTTTTCCCTCTGGTCCCACCACCTCAGGAGGAGCCCCGTGCAGTCGCAATAGATTTGGAGGGCATGCTTTTACTGACGGTGCCTAAGGAAAATTTGAGGTGTCTGATGATAGCATATTTGTGTCTTAAAGCTGCTCTGTGGTACTGAAGGACAATTATTGAAACAAATAAATAAATGGACTGAAATAAAATTCAGGCAAGGAAACAGCTCAATGGGAAAGTTACGAATGTAGCTGTCAGCCTGGTTTCGTTCATTTTGGGCTGAGTGACAGTCGCAGGCGCAGAATTCAGTGACATTCAAACCTTTCTCTACAGGTGAAGGGACACAAAATGGGATCTAATTTGTTCGTCATGGGGCATCACTTTCTGGCATTCTTTTTTTTTTTCTTGGCAAGAAACTGCGGGTAATTTATGTCAATGTCATCAAAGACATATTCCTGTTACTCTCACAACTGTGACCTTGTATCCAGCTAAAAGAGTTATAGCGGGTAACCAGTGAGATGCTCAGGTTACGTCCACAGGGCAGATTTTCCAAGCAGCAGCTATGCTGGCAGGGCTACTTGCCATGCTGTCCGGCCACGCCGGTGCCAAGTGATTCTGGGAAAATGCAGGCAGTGACACCACAGACCAGTAACGATGGAGGTGAATTCCTGGAAGGCGCCTACCAAGAGCAGCAGCCCATGGTGCGACGTACCGTGGGATGTGCTACTGTAGGGACAACTGAAACGTGGGAGGAGGGGTCAGCACGTTGCAGCGTCCTGTCCGCACAGCAGGCAGCAACCTTACTGAACCAGTCACAGAAAATTGGCTGCCTTGACCGGGAGGAAACAGCTTAGCTGTCATAGCTTTCACTCAGAATTAGCTATGAGCTGGCCAGGCATAAATTGCTTTTAGAATTAGTCCTGCCAGCTGCATTACCAACAAAGCAAAAATTGTCTGAGGAACAAGGCTCGGGTTCACACACTTAAACCCTACCTGTCACAAGGTTGCTAAACTTTTCCCTAGGGCTGGTACTACAATATGTACTGTATTGGCATGCTGTCTTTTCTGTTCGACTGCTGCATGATTGTATTATAACATGTCCTGTTGACAAGGACTAAACTCAGATCGAACTGCATAGAGATAACTGGCCTTGATCGCTCCGTGGTGAAACCAGAGTAAATTACTGGATGCCAAGTGAGTTATTCCCTGTTTATTTCCAATTAAACAAGCTTAGAATCTGGCCTTCAGATCATGTTATTTCTCTAATTCAGCTGGGTCATATTTATAAATTCATGTAGTGGTCAAAATGGTCCAATAAATGCCAGCACACAATCCCAGCACTTGCAAAATATCGAATGTGTATATTGGGACTTTTTCTATTTGCTGACTGCAGGACAAATAGGTTTCGTATTGGGACATCAAAGTCTGTTTCAGCAACTGGATGCATGACAAAGCCATGTTATAATCTGGGTACTGATTACGGCATTGAAACATGTTGGCTCAGCGTGTGGTAGATCTGGGTGCATAGATAGATTAACTTTTTAGTGGCCTATGGCTTGCTTTCAGCATGGAGAAGGTTGTCAGCATATTTGTGCTAATTAAGGAAACAGCATGGGAAACTCCTTTCCACTGCAGATACAGCCAGAGCTCAGGAAATGTCATTGCTCCTCAATGTTTTTTCTAGCAGCCAGTTTGTCTTGAAGTAGAGAAGCAGCTTCGTGTCTTAACTGTATTTCTAAACTGTGCTGAAGCTTGCTTGGGTCTTGTCCAAGTCTTGTGTATTTACCTGTTTCTGGAGGATGGATTGAACTGTTAGGTCACCAACACATTAGAAGAGTGTTTTAGCTGTATTTGGGGCCAGCAGTGCAGGGTTAGAATCTCTGCCTTGATTATACATTATTTGTAATGTTGACAGTAGCTGAACGCCAAGAAATCAACACAAGTTTGTGCTCATGTTTCACTAGAAGAACTTCCTTGCTGCTGAAAATAACGCTTTTGCCCAACAGTAACTTTTTTTTTTTTTCATTCAGGCGGTGTTTTGGATATGTTATGCTACTCTTAGCATATTCCCATGTTCAAGTTCCCAAGAAGGCACGCTGAAACATTGCCAACTGTATTAAGTCCTTTCTGTTGCACTGAGTCAGCTGCTGTGATTTTACCTTTGCTCTT